TTCTGCTGACTCTCGCTTCCTTTAGCAGCGCCTCAAAACCACGGTGGTCCCGGCCCAGCTGCATGGCCCATCTTAATTTTTCCATGAAGTTCATGGCACAGTTCTGCGGGAATAGCAGCCTCTTCCTGCCGTTCACAACGTCATTCTGACTTCCTTCCTTGCTTTCATATTTCTTCTTCCTCTTTTCTTCCTGCTCGCACCTATTCTCGGTGTCACTCATCTCACTTGCGCTTTCTTTGTTCCTTTCCCTCTTATGGGAACCACTTTCCATATTCCCTTTCACTCGTGCACATTCACTTTCAGTTTCCATGTCATAATTGCTTGACCCCGGTATGGCAACTCCAGCCATGCTGACACCTGGGGAGGTGACCTGAGCCCTGCCCATGAGGCGGAGGTCAGTGCAAGGAGCGGTTGCCAGAAATTCTTCTTGCAAATGACACTAATTATCCAATTTCCTGTCTTTTTGGATCACGACTGTTATATGACAGTTTTGGGTAGATTGCGGAACACTGGAGGGCCTGAGGCACCTCACCCGCTCCCTGTCCGAGGACTAGGTGGGGGGCGGGTAAACACAGGGTTCTGGAAATCTCTCATGGCTGAGGACAGCACACAAACACGTCCTAATTCAACGAGAGATACACCACGACTGTTGCACTGCACTGACTTACAAAGACTTGAAGTGAAATTTTATAAGCTACTTGTACAGGACAGGTGGTTATTGTATTTTTAGTAGTTTGATTTACTGGAGTATGTGAATATGGAATTCCTTTTCTCTGGATTAAGGGTGGGTAAGTCAGGCAAAGTGGTGGGTGGGGAGGGAGTATGTATGGTGAGGTGAGCGTACTGAGCATCACCAGTCCTGGCATGCAGGACTGGTGATGCTCAAAGGTGAGGGGTGGGTCCTGTCTCAAGTTCGAATTTTTGTTTCACTAGTTAGTCAAGCACAGTCACTTCGCATGTTGATATTGCACTGATGCGACCACCATACTTTATCATATATAATCAGAGCCAAAAATACTGTTTAACTGCCATTAATTTTCGGTAATTCGTGAAATATACAAAGCACGAATCTGTGGTTATGCGTCTGTACAGGAGGGGAGGGCGGGGAGAATGTCTGAATAACAAAGACAGACAGAGAGATCTGATTTGCTTCCATAAGATTTAATTACAGAAAAGTGCGCCATCAGTCGTCAGCTGATGATTTTCAAATTCTGCTACAGGTTGTAGAAGGGTAAAACGTTCTCCAAAGACCACTGAAAATATTATTTCCTGGAATTGCAGTTGGTGAACAAATTGTTGCTACATCATGAGCAAACATACTCAGATACCTTGGCTTATGTTTGACTCTAAATCATTGACGAAAATAGTAATCAAAATCGGCGCCAATGTAGCCGACCCCCGCTACCTGCAGCGCAGCATACTTCCCCCAGGTTGGGTCCAGGTCCACAGCCTGTCCTCTCGCCCTCACCATCAGTAGCTTCTCGACGACGCATACCGAGACCTGATTGGTTGACCACAGACACCTCACGGCTTGGACCGCAGACTCCCCTCGTTCCCAGGTGGCTGGCACAGCTGAGACCCACTTAAGCTCCGGCACCCGGGCCGAGTTCAGCACTCACGATCCTCCAGCCGAGCAAGACACAGCAAGCAGCAACTAAGCCTACCAAGGCCTTAGGCGACGGGTGAGCCGTCCCGGCTGTTCCCGGCGATCTCCAGCACACCAGCCATACCTGTGGGCACTCACACCCACACCCAAAAGCTCCTTAAAGAGATGATTGACACCAGCCTATGGCGGATACCAATCCATTGCCATACCAACACCAATCCTTGAGGCACTCCAGTGGTTACTCATCGCCATGTAGAATGCTTCCCTCTAATTACTGTGCTCATCTGTCTTTCACGAAGAAAGTCTTTCATCCACACGAGTAGTTTGCCTTACACTCCACCTAGGTGCTCTAATTTCCATTGTAGCATTCTATGAGACACCTTATCAAAAGTCTTTTTAAAGTCTAAGTACACGCAATCCACTCAGCCGTCTCTTTCTTGTAATA